AATTATATAAAATTCAAATTTTTTGTATCACTGTATATTTTTTATATTACATGTACAAATAAACCACCTACTTATAAAGTAATATAATAATTAAAAAAGAAAAAGAAAGATCACAAGCCTAGTTGTCTTAACTAATATACTTTTACGCATTGTTAAAGATTTGATTAAAACTTACAAAAGTAACTATTACATTAACAATAACGATGGAAATAGTTTGTAACATTTTACAATGCATCTAAAGGTTGAGACCTATTTTGAAAAGGAAAATCGTATATTTCACAACAGCAATTAACTATATACACAAAAGTAGCGGTAAATTTAAACAAATATTTACAAATGAAACATTATTTCACACACTAAAGATACATAATTATCGCAATGTTAATGTAAATAACAGTCTTTCATAAAAAGAACTCCTTCATTATTGGCTGCTTTTGCTTCAGTTTTGTTCCTTTTCCAAAATTGATGATATTTCGGTGTTGAACGGTATGGCGATTTACACCTAAATTTTTACAAACAATCTCTTGTTAAACTTTTTTTGCTTATTTTTATTATTTTTTGTCTGCATTTTTTTTGTTGCATAATTACAATCATATCGGGTATAAAAATTGTGCATTTTAAATTTTAATGCACGATTTCTACGTTATAAAGGTAGTACAAAATAAAGCATTTAGGGAAAAATACAGGTAATTAAAAGCATTTCAAGATAAATTAAGTTTTTAAATTATTCAAAAATGTAAACTTATCTTTTCTTGTAATGCCAGGTGATATGAAAGGTTAAATATTTGGATAAGGTGGGTTACAATCAGCAATAGTGCATACATTTTTTACAGAAACTACTGCAACTTTTGATGAAATGGTCTTAATTGAATATTTTTGATCAATAATTAATTTTATATTATTTTTGTTTTAGTTAGTCAAAATAGTGATTAAACAAAACTGTAACGAACAGAAAGAAATTGTGTTGTCGACCAAAGACGTTTGAATTTTAATTATATCTAAACAGTAAAGTAAAAAAATCAAATTGTTCTTCGAAATAACTTTTGATTCATAAATGCTTCATTTATTAGAATATGTTTAATTTTATCTCTATGATGTTCATGAAAATTTTCTAATTAAGAAGTTTGTTGCAAAAAATATATGCTGTACAACTGGAATTACAAAAATAGACTTAAAACTAATTGAACTTTCGAAAAATCTACACTATTTGAGAAAGAGCAAAGAGCAATATCATTACAAATAAAATAAAATATCACAATGTTTTCTATTATGAACACTTATAAAAATGCAAAATATAATCTTTACACTACATGCAATGTTAGTACAAGAAATCATTAAATTAGATTAAAATTTATTCTGCGCAGACGTTGGAAAATTTTTTAAACCCACTATAAGATATGTAGAAAGCTGAAAATTGTCTTATACATAAGAAACAGCTCTTTCTGCCACACAAACACGTGCTAACACTACGTACTACTCTCACGATTGACACACACGCATAAGCTTTTAATAAAATTATCACATCAACAAATCAATCACATTCATCTTCAGCAAAAATACTTCGAAATAAAGAATAAATACCGTTAGAAAACAAATCTTCAATGAACTTTGTAAATTAATCATGGTACTCATATCACATCAATTCTTGTATTTGATAAAATATCACACAAATGATATCCACGGAAAGCAAAACTCAAAATTAATATACTTTGTAAAGGAAATAATTACTTAAAAAAATTAAAACATTAAAACCGGTTCAGCTATAGAAAAAAAAAAGAAATAACTGTAACGTTTTCAAATTAAAATTAAGTTTTGTTGGCGTGCACAACAACGATATTTTACATAATAGGGCCGCCAATGATAATAAATAATAAATCTTATTATTAGATAAAAATAATAATAAAAAGGCGCAAGTCAACAATACCTGATCCACGTTTGAACGATTTTTGCTCCTCTTTCTCTTTGACTTCGTTTCAGTTTTTGGGATGCCCAGTCTCATATGTATCGGCAACTTTCCCTCTAAATTAGAATTAATTAGAATCTACTGCTTATGTATATGGTATAAAACAAATATATGGCTATTTATTATCAAAGCTGAAATGCTGTAGTTACATTGATAAAATTATAACCTTACGAAATGGTTCAAGTAGCTAGCAGTGTGTAAATGTGGTCGAATAGAATGTTCAAGATTTAGAACAATTGGATACTCTATTATTAATTAGTCATCAAATTACAATTAATATAAATCGGAGTTATGTTACAATACAAATTTTTTTTTTCAAATAATTTTTAATTCAAAAGAAATGTTAGAATGGGCTTTGATATATTTTTTTGTAACATAATAATTATTATCCACGTCAATTTCAAATAAATATTCCGTCCCACTAGAATCAATATCTTTTATCAATTTCAAAAATTGCAAAACAGCGAAAATTTCAAATGCTGCACAGATAAGGCTTTCACTTGTAACTCCATATTTCAAATATTCGCAATTATACCCTTAATTATAATATTAACTGCTGTGTCAGGGATCACTACAATGTTATTGGACAACTATACATATACTATTTCTCACCGAGAAAAGAAACAAACATTCAAAATATTATCGTTTAATATGGAATTTCAATTAAAATCGCATGTTTTTGGGTTTTCTTAACATACAGACACATATACCACTTATGAATAGTCGAATCCGTTCAAATTTTAATCATGGCGATCCTCCATTCCATAACCTAACCCACGTCCTTGGTGCACAGCACTTTACATATACCAATCAAAAAACCTTTTCCAACTACAATCTAACTTAAACACTTGGAAAATAGCCCTTTGCACATATTAATTAGAAAATTCTCTTTTACCATAAGGGGCCGTCCATAAATTACGTTAAGACTTTTAGGAAAGAGGGGTTCATAATTTTCTTACAATATCTTACAAAGGGTGAGGGTAGTACACAACTCGTCTCACGTAAGATTCTTTTACTAATTGTATTGCATACGTGGCGACTTGAAACCATAAAAATTCTTTAATTTATTTTTTAACATTTTAATATAAGTTTTTGCTTGTTTTTAAAGTAAAAAGCACTTGTCACCATCTTTATTTATTGTAATGGAACGTAATGATCCTGAAAACACTGAACAGGACCTTACAGTGTTCGATTATACGTCACCTTCGGATAAAGAAAAATTAAAGTCCTGGATAAAGCAAAATCTTTAAACAAACATATAATGTTTATACAAATGCATAGTACAAACTTTTTGTATTTTTGTAATATTTAATTTAATTTTTGCTATCATACATTGTAATTTAATTGTTTCATTACTTAATGTCGCCAGGACCAAATACCTCATACTTGCTTTCGCTAAACTCAAAAATAATCTGTCGGTCAAAAAGTTGACTATGATTTATCATGTAAGCCTAACTACAAACGGCATAATTGCTTGGGGTAGCGCCTATAATAATTCTATTACTCCCCTAAAAAAGATGTTTGATAAAATAAACTCTATCATAACCAAAGACTCCAGCAATGAGGCATCTGTTGCCGTCGCTGACCTCCTTAATCTTAAATAACATTATTATGTTTACGCATCCTTACGAGAGCACTTCAAAGATTTACATGATAAATGATCGGAATTAACCACAGTAACAAGAGCTAGAAGCATCTTGCTACCCATCAGGCAATTAAAAATTGGCCAACTTTGTAGTTCATTTACTGCAATCACGACGTACAATAAAATTCCCAATGAGTCTAAATCTTTTGTTGTGAAGTTTCATTCTTAGGATACAAAATAATTTTCAATATTTCTATTTGAATTTAGGTTTAGGTTTGGAGATAACTTGTTTTTGTATATTACCAGCCCGTGTACAGAAGACACTAGTATCTCTTCTACTAGCAGGAGCCATTGTATGTACATCTATATACTAATGCACTAATCTATGTAGTCTGGTTAATTAAAAAAAAATTAATGCATTTTATTTAAGTTGTAATCTTTATTAGATTTAAGTTAAGCTGGGCTTGCATACAGGTGTGTTTTAACTACATCAAAAAAATACGTACTTGTACTATTCCTAGTCTCAAATAAATAAATAAATGAGTTTTATATATAGCTTTGTATTTTATAATCGTTTCATCATAAAATTTATTTGCATCAAATAAACAATTGTGCTAAAAATGCAATATTAATTATTTATTGAAGTGATAAAATTTGATGATTTAAAAGACTGAGTTCGATTTTATGGAGAATATGAAATAATTACCTAAGGATAAGATAAGGGAGAGGGTGGTATAAAATTATACGATTTCTTACGTAGGGGGAGGAAGGGGTGTAAAATTTACGAGAAATGTCTTAATTAATTTATCGACGGCCTCTAACCTAACCCAAACCCACGGTACAGAGCACTTGACTTATGTCAAACAGGAAACGCGTCTCCACCGTAACATACTCTAATCCTTCGGTACATAGCATTTTACACAAGCTAATCAGGGAGTCCTCTCTTACAATAACCACTCTCTCACCATAACCAAAGTTCATGGAACATGTAGTACATCATATCATCCAATTAGGTGAGCTAACCTAAGCTCAAAGTGCATAGCACTTTACACATGTGAATTAGGAATTCATCCACATCGCAATCTAACTTAACCTTAATTATTACGGCAGCAGGCGTTTAGCACCACCATCACCACATGCTACTGATGACCTTATGACAATTGAATCACCAAATAACGACATTTAAACAGGCTCAACACGTTAAAATATTGGTGATTATTCTGCATATAACATGCATACACACTATATACAGATAAATATGCTAAGAATTGATCTGGAATGATCCTTTTTAAGTTTACCAATAAACCAATAAAAATTACAAAGATGATTCTTAGAATTGCAGTAGTTTGAACACAGAAGGCAAGCTAAAATAGTGCACTGGGTTCATAAAAGCATTTTTCAAAAAAATCCTACAGACAAGAAAGTAAATATTTTTATTAATAACAAAGTAACAATGTAGTGATCCTAAAAGGGCAAAAGAAACCAATTGTTTTTATCGGTTATTGTCATTTCTACTTGGGCATATTAATTTTATTTTTTTTTAAGAAACAAGGATTTCACTATATAAGTAGAAACCAATAGATGTAATAAGTGAAGTGATATGATTTTCACGTCATTAGAGAAGACTAATTAGCTTCAAAATATAAATACACTTCAGATTGTCCCAGGGGATTATTTTTATTTATTAAAGAAATTAAGTATTTTTAAACTAAAAAATGCGTAATCGGTTCTCAATTTAAAAAAAAAATAGGGAAAGATAGAGTAAATCAATCTAAAAGAAGAGATACCTGTTATGGGACGTACAATTTCGAAATCGCTGTGAACAACACTGACTTTTCTGTTACCAAGATTTAAGGAGGTCGTACAAGGAGATTTTAAACAAGTAGAACTAATTTTGATGTTTTTTCCAAACTTAAACATGTTTTTCTCTGTACATTCCACTAAATAAGTAATATATATTAGCAATTATATTAAAAGAAAACGTTGAAACTATAAAAAAAAGAAAAACGATAACTCACCTTTTGGTGCTGATTCTTTACTCTTCTTTTTAGACTTAGACTTTTTGTCTTTTTTGTAAACAGCACCTTCTAATGCATTTTGAAGAAGTCTAGACTGAACACTTTCCAAGGGAAGTTTCTGCCTTTCTGCTCTCTTTCTACTTAGCTGTGCTCGAAGATCTCCAGCTGAAAGGTTGAAAATTAATACGTAATTTAAATGTTTAAAAATGCTGTTTTAACATAAAAACAAACGTGATGTCTAAGAAACAGTTTTTGATTAGACTTACCATTACTTTTATTTAAATCGTTTTTCTCATCGTCTTCATTTTGTTCATAGTCGACAATAATTTCAGGTTCAGTGTCGTCATAAACATCAATTTCTTTTTCTCTAGTTACTTCCATTACTTTTCTGCCGCTTTTCATTTCTTTTCGTTCTCTTTCTTCCAATTGGTCCTTATTCAGTACATCATAGCTAGGTTCATCTCCTTCATACTCATATTTCGATGGATTCCTTATTTTTATTTCAATCTTCTTATTTTCCAAAACTGCACTAACTGGTGCCCTCTTTTCTGTTTTGCTGTTAAAGTTTCCTTTCAACATTATACGACCTCTGAGGACGCATTTTGAAGCACTAGAAGTTACCGTTTTTGGGATATCTTCGACTAATTTTTGTTTCGGAACGTCATCTAAACGATGATTCAGTGTGTTGTTTTTATCATTTTGCACATGAAGGGGAGACCGACTTCTTTCTGACTCAATATTTACTCTGTCATGATTTCCTGATTGTTTAATGCGTCTATCTTTTGAAGATGTATTTTCTTTTCTTGTGTTTTTTGTGTTATCTGAATGACTTCTTTTAGTGGATGAAGAAAACGAGCTATTTATAAGTTTAGTAAAAGGAAGAATAGACACGTTCCGTGTTTGACTACCATTTGATGACTTAAACCTTCCCTCATTTTCTTCATCTGACTCTTCTTCTGGAAAGATGTCATCAATTTTTGTGTCGATTATTATGTCGTCATCTTGCAAATATTCCTCATTCTGCTCATCTTTAACATCTATCTCATTTTCATTCTTTAAATTATGGTCTTCTTTAATAGTTTTGTCATCATTTTCATTTTCTTCTGATTTTAGTTTAAGACGAATAATTCCTTCTTTAGGAACTTCGCTAGATTCAAATTTTCGTTTCCTAGCTTCCAGTACAGGATCGACTGGTTTATCATTTTGTACTTTGGTTTGTTTTAATGGCTCCTTCTCTATGCTAGGACTTCTGCTTCTCTTAATCCCCTTTTTCACACCTAACCGATCATATACAGATGTTTTTGGAGACTTGTTAAGTTTTCTTGAATCACTTGGTGACAACCTAGTGGCACAGCGAGAATTGCTCAGGGGAGACAATTGCCTACTAGGCGACAGCTTTCTCCTAGGTGATGCTCTTTCCTTTCTAATGGGAGAACTTTTTCTTGAAGTAGATTTTCCATTCCTAAGTGGTGATACAAGTCTACTGGAAGTTTTAATTCTGTCTGGTGAATCAAAATGTTTATTAGGAGAATAAGGCCTCCTACTGGGTGACAAATGTCTGTCTCCAGGTGATCTTCTACTCGTTTTGGGTCTAGGTGATAAACTTCTGTCACTTTTTGTAGAACGATGACTGCAGGGAGATACAGGAGATAAACTACGTGAATAAGAACGGCGTGGAGACATTTTGCGTTTTTCGATAATTTTTTGGTTTTGTAGAACGAATTGTGCACTTCTAGGCGATAAAGGGGCTGAACCAAATGTAGGAATCGAAGGGGGAGCGTATGTGGGAGGATAGTTTTGTATTAAAGGTAGAGTGGGAACTACAGGTACTAGTGGTTTATAAGGAGCATTGTCATAAGCATACGGACTGACAAATGGAACTTGAGAGTAGGGGGTTGAGGAAACGTAAGGTACAAAGGGTTGCTGGTAAATGGGTGAACAAGATCTTCTTTTATTTCTTGGTTTCTTAGAGGAAAAAGTTCGACCTTTGGGTACAGCTATTGGACTTCTATTATCCACAATTTTCATGGAATTTTTACACACAGTTTTTTCCAAATTTTCAGAGGACTTTTTAATGATTTCATCATTCTCCATTATTACTTCTTCCTTGGTTACTTCTACTTCAACTTTCTCTACTTTGACTTGATTTTCACAATTTTCTGGTAAATTTTCTGAGATCATTTCATCTGATTTAATCTTTCGAGCTTTCTTTGGTTTAGATTTAACCTTTTCAACATTTCCATTACCTTGTATTTCGTTCTCCAACTCTTGCATAAGAGCCTCAAGACTAGTTGTCCTTTCTAATTTTACTGGAGACATTTTACCTGTATCAGGAGTTTCTTCTTCACAATCTGATTCTGAATCAGATTTATCATACCGATCAAATTTACTGGATTTTTCAGTGTGTGGTTTTTCAAAAACTTGACTACTGCAATACCTATGTTGTGGCAAAACAAGTTTAGGAACAACCTCTGTACTTTTTGATGATGAGTTTATCTGATCATCTAATCCCACCATGGGAACTGAAATTAAATTGGAAGTCCGCACTTTTATTCTAAACTGACCCTATAAAAAGAAAATGTCACTATAAATACCAAAATACTTGTTTACAAATGGGTGCAAAACTATTATGTATTTATATTCTGTTTTCACCTGCATTAATTAATGTGAACTGAAAGAATTATATAACTCATATTAAAAAAAATACTCAAGGATATAACTTTAACAAAGGATTTACTTAAATGTAAATTATATATTAGCAATTATATTAAAAGAAAACGTTGAAACTATAAAAAAAAGAAAAACGATAACTCACCTTTTGGTGCTGATTCTTTACTCTTCTTTTTAGACTTAGACTTTTTGTCTTTTTTGTAAACAGCACCTTCTAATGCATTTTGAAGAAGTCTAGACTGAACACTTTCCAAGGGAAGTTTCTGCCTTTCTGCTCTCTTTCTACTTAGCTGTGCTCGAAGATCTCCAGCTGAAAGGTTGAAAATTAATACGTAATTTAAATGTTTAAAAATGCTGTTTTAACATAAAAACAAACGTGATGTCTAAGAAACAGTTTTTGATTAGACTTACCATTACTTTTATTTAAATCGTTTTTCTCATCGTCTTCATTTTGTTCATAGTCGACAATAATTTCAGGTTCAGTGTCGTCATAAACATCAATTTCTTTTTCTCTAGTTACTTCCATTACTTTTCTGCCGCTTTTCATTTCTTTTCGTTCTCTTTCTTCCAATTGGTCCTTATTCAGTACATCATAGCTAGGTTCATCTCCTTCATACTCATATTTCGATGGATTCCTTATTTTTATTTCAATCTTCTTATTTTCCAAAACTGCACTAACTGGTGCCCTCTTTTCTGTTTTGCTGTTAAAGTTTCCTTTCAACATTATACGACCTCTGAGGACGCATTTTGAAGCACTAGAAGTTACCGTTTTTGGGATATCTTCGACTAATTTTTGTTTCGGAACGTCATCTAAACGATGATTCAGTGTGTTGTTTTTATCATTTTGCACATGAAGGGGAGACCGACTTCTTTCTGACTCAATATTTACTCTGTCATGATTTCCTGATTGTTTAATGCGTCTATCTTTTGAAGATGTATTTTCTTTTCTTGTGTTTTTTGTGTTATCTGAATGACTTCTTTTAGTGGATGAAGAAAACGAGCTATTTATAAGTTTAGTAAAAGGAAGAATAGACACGTTCCGTGTTTGACTACCATTTGATGACTTAAACCTTCCCTCATTTTCTTCATCTGACTCTTCTTCTGGAAAGATGTCATCAATTTTTGTGTCGATTATTATGTCGTCATCTTGCAAATATTCCTCATTCTGCTCATCTTTAACATCTATCTCATTTTCATTCTTTAAATTATGGTCTTCTTTAATAGTTTTGTCATCATTTTCATTTTCTTCTGATTTTAGTTTAAGACGAATAATTCCTTCTTTAGGAACTTCGCTAGATTCAAATTTTCGTTTCCTAGCTTCCAGTACAGGATCGACTGGTTTATCATTTTGTACTTTGGTTTGTTTTAATGGCTCCTTCTCTATGCTAGGACTTCTGCTTCTCTTAATCCCCTTTTTCACACCTAACCGATCATATACAGATGTTTTTGGAGACTTGTTAAGTTTTCTTGAATCACTTGGTGACAACCTAGTGGCACAGCGAGAATTGCTCAGGGGAGACAATTGCCTACTAGGCGACAGCTTTCTCCTAGGTGATGCTCTTTCCTTTCTAATGGGAGAACTTTTTCTTGAAGTAGATTTTCCATTCCTAAGTGGTGATACAAGTCTACTGGAAGTTTTAATTCTGTCTGGTGAATCAAAATGTTTATTAGGAGAATAAGGCCTCCTACTGGGTGACAAATGTCTGTCTCCAGGTGATCTTCTACTCGTTTTGGGTCTAGGTGATAAACTTCTGTCACTTTTTGTAGAACGATGACTGCAGGGAGATACAGGAGATAAACTACGTGAATAAGAACGGCGTGGAGACATTTTGCGTTTTTCGATAATTTTTTGGTTTTGTAGAACGAATTGTGCACTTCTAGGCGATAAAGGGGCTGAACCAAATGTAGGAATCGAAGGGGGAGCGTATGTGGGAGGATAGTTTTGTATTAAAGGTAGAGTGGGAACTACAGGTACTAGTGGTTTATAAGGAGCATTGTCATAAGCATACGGACTGACAAATGGAACTTGAGAGTAGGGGGTTGAGGAAACGTAAGGTACAAAGGGTTGCTGGTAAATGGGTGAACAAGATCTTCTTTTATTTCTTGGTTTCTTAGAGGAAAAAGTTCGACCTTTGGGTACAGCTATTGGACTTCTATTATCCACAATTTTCATGGAATTTTTACACACAGTTTTTTCCAAATTTTCAGAGGACTTTTTAATGATTTCATCATTCTCCATTATTACTTCTTCCTTGGTTACTTCTACTTCAACTTTCTCTACTTTGACTTGATTTTCACAATTTTCTGGTAAATTTTCTGAGATCATTTCATCTGATTTAATCTTTCGAGCTTTCTTTGGTTTAGATTTAACCTTTTCAACATTTCCATTACCTTGTATTTCGTTCTCCAACTCTTGCATAAGAGCCTCAAGACTAGTTGTCCTTTCTAATTTTACTGGAGACATTTTACCTGTATCAGGAGTTTCTTCTTCACAATCTGATTCTGAATCAGATTTATCATACCGATCAAATTTACTGGATTTTTCAGTGTGTGGTTTTTCAAAAACTTGACTACTGCAATACCTATGTTGTGGCAAAACAAGTTTAGGAACAACCTCTGTACTTTTTGATGATGAGTTTATCTGATCATCTAATCCCACCATGGGAACTGAAATTAAATTGGAAGTCCGCACTTTTATTCTAAACTGACCCTATAAAAAGAAAATGTCACTATAAATACCAAAATACTTGTTTACAAATGGGTGCAAAACTATTATGTATTTATATTCTGTTTTCACCTGCATTAATTAATGTGAACTGAAAGAATTATATAACTCATATTAAAAAAAATACTCAAGGATATAACTTTAACAAAGGATTTACTTAAATGTAAATTAGCTGAAAACTCTTGGTGAAGCATTTTAAACAAATAAAATAGAACAAAATACACTTGTAAAAATTTATTTAAAACTATTACACTACATACAAATTTTAATAAATAAGTGAAACTTCTTCAAGTGTATTTTACTCCATTTTACATTTAAATGTAACTTAGCAAATTTGTGAATGATTTAAAATAGAAATACGTACATTCTATTTTAATTTTTCCTAATAAAGGAAGCACAGCAAAAATATGCAACAAAACAATATTAAAAACTTACGTTTTTGAGAGGTCGATTGCCATGAAAACCTCTACGTCGTTTGCCAAAATTAGGATTTCCATAATTCTGATTAAAGTTTTTGCTTTGTGTTTTATCATTAACTGAAGAAGTGGCTGTTTTCTTTAGAGTTTGTAGAGCTGCTAAGCGCAGATTTTCTAAATCTTCTTCATCATCAGAAACGACAGTGTCCTATAAAAAAAAAAGTGATCACCATATTTAAAGACAATGCAACGTAAGAAAAATGTTATATAGAGGAATTGTTAAATTATTTATAAAGTATGTAATATAATAATTACAAAAGAATACCTTTTCATGTCGTTCCATTTCCATTAAATTTAAGCAAAACTGCCCTTTTTAGTTACCACAACTGTCAAAATATGGTCAAAATGGCGAACATATTAGTGTAATAAACCATAGATAAGTGTAATAAACAAGACAACACCATAACCATCCATGACCACAACTCTACAAAAGCTTGCTATGCTTCCTAATTCTGCTCTAATAAGATAGCATTAGCACACCATTAGCACATTACCAGACTGTCCAACTCTTACAGAAATTACTAACAATATCAAAATTGGTACTAGTAGTTTGGGGCTTCTTTTAATTTGCAATACCATAAATTAGGCGTAATATTCACATAAAAATAATTTTGTAGATCTAAACAATACATTAATTTTAAAATTACACCCCTCGTAGTTCAACATTTCAACTTGGATTTAATGGATTTCTGACTTGGCTCCAGGTGAAACATGCTTAAATAGGATAAATAAAGACTTGGTATTATTTGTACCACAATTTTATTAGGTCTTTTATTAAAAGAATTGAACAATGCTCTCTTAATAAAATTGTGGGATAAATAATAGAAAGTGTTTTGTTTTTGTTTATTCTATTTGAACAAGAATATTAATGACTAAATTACATAAATTATATTTTTATATCCAGAATAGTATTTTTTGTCAGGATTATCTATATTACTTTCTACTTTGTTTAAATGATACGTTTATAGTTATACCAAAAAGCGAAGAATACCTACCTACTTAATATATTCTTAGCTCTGATAGATGTAATATAAAATAAAAAAAAAAATGAAATTGGTATGTTATGAAGTTATAATTAATGAAATAAAATTTCCGTGCAAATATTGCTAGATATAGTACGTAGCAATTTGCTTTTCTAAGTTACTAACTGGTATATTATTTTGTTATTCAAAAATTGCCTAGGTGTTTCGTTAGTTGAATGAAGGCTGATTTCCTTTGAGGATGTATGTTGTTATTTGATGGTAATTATCTATGGTGATATGTTCTTTGAGTACTACTATTTAATCTATGAGTACTACTTTGTATGAGTATGGTTTGAGGGTTTTAGTACTATCTATGGTTTTAGTAGTATGGTATTTGATGGTAGTATCGGTATAGCAGTGCGTAGTTGCATATGTCAAAATATGTATCCAAAGTTAGTAAATATTTTTAAAAAAGAAGTTTTATTAAAGTTAATGTAATGTTGATATTAAAAAGTGAACATTCATCTCTAATTAGACAGAATGTATACTGTGTTTACATGTAATTCGTAGAAATTAGTAAAGTGTTGAAAATGGGTGTCCCAGCGATAGGCACGGGTTTATCTCACATAAGAACCAAAACTTACTGTGAGTTTTACAACCAGTCAATGTGTTTAAATTCACGTAAAAGTGGTCATAATCAGGGATGTTACGAGAAGATGGAATGTGAAGCCCAAAGTGTGGATAAACGAAGTCACTGTTATGTTGTCTGGACGAAGGATGCAAATGGCAACACAAACATAACATTAAAAGGGTGTTTCTTAAATAACGAAGAATGCTACGATAAATTTGAATGCGTAGCCAAGTCACCTACACCAAAGAAGGACTATTTGTTTTGTTGTTGTGAAGGTGATATGTGTAATACAAATTTCACTTGGCAGCCTACAGCATCAGAGAGTCCTCCGATCAAAGCTCCTGAACCACATCCAGATAATGTCCCTGTATTAATGCCAATATTGATATGTTTCTCAGTAGCATTAACATTAATTATAGTTGGGGCATTTGTTATGTTCTGGCTGTATCGGAGAAACAAACATGTATTTAATGAGTTGCCAACAATGGAAACCCATCCTGTTCCATCTCCATCTCCTTATATGGATCTGAGACCTATACAGCTCCTTGAAATCAAAGCGAGAGGAAGATTTGGAGCTGTTTGGAAAGCTCAATATAAATCTATGGAAGTTGCAGTAAAAATATTTCCTGTACAAGATAAACAATCTTGGTTATCAGAACAAGAAATTTACAAACTACCTTTTATGAATCATCCTAATATTCTGCATTTTATTGGAGTTGAAAAAAGAGGAGATAGTTTACAGTCAGAGTTTTGGCTTATCACAGAATATCATGAATTGGGATCACTTTGTGATTTCTTAAAAGCACATACACTGTCATGGACACAATTGTGCCGAATTGTGGAGTCAATGACTCGTGGATTAATTCACTTGCATGAGGATATACATGATCCAAAACCAGGAGATATGGGAAAACCTGCAATAGCTCATCGTGATTTCAAAAGCAAAAATGTGCTTTTGAAAAATGATATGACAGCATGTATTGCAGATTTTGGTCTTGCTTTAATTTTCTATTCAGGTAAGTATCTAATAGAAATACATAATAAAATTAACCTTAATTGACCTTTATTGTTATATTGACAGTTGTATTAGTTCTCGTTACTTTTTACTTTATTTATTTACTATTATGATTACCTATTTACATAGTCGGCACTGTATTATAAGTAATCGTGCAAAAGCCGATGTGATAATTGCACATGTATATGAATTGCAGTGGCGGATTTGCAGTTCAAGCCGCTCTAGGCCCCAGGGTATGTGCCGCCCCTTTCTCAGCACCCATCATTATAGACTATATACATAATTCATTAATTTACTTTATTCCCACTTTTAATTGATTCAGACAATTATTTAACTAAAAGCTAGCTTATAAAGCTAGAATATTTTATATAAACTAAACGTACGAACTATTTTATATGGACGATGTACGAAATTATTTATATTTTGATACGTAAAAATAGTGATTTAGGAAGATTATTATCATACGGTACGCGAGCCTTTAAAATGTTAAGATACTTTGCATTTGAGTTATTTCTTGTTAATCTTGTTATCATCAGTGATTTTTTTTGGCACGATTTGCCGCCCTTAATATCTGGCCGCCCTAGGCCCGGGCCTACTGGACCTTAGGGCAAATCAGCCAATGATAAATTAACAGTTATTTTAAATTAAAATGTTGCAATTTAAATGAAAAGTGATAATAATAGGTGAAAATCAATCTGAAAGTAGTAACTTTTATATTACTCATAATTTTTCTTGAGTAATAATGTTAGTCATAAAAATTAATAAGTAAATCGTTATTTTTTTCTTTTTCTAATAAACTTTCAAACATTAATTTTGATAATTTAGTTACTGTATTTTATTTTATTTTTTTGTTGGAATGGATCATAAATTACATTACATATAGGTTCTGAAATAGTTTTCTTATTATTTAGTAAACAGACAAATTGATATACATATTAATATTAAAGTTTTAGTTAAATGCAGTTATTAAAAGAAGATATATGAAATTAATTCATCCGTAGTCATTTTATAAAGTATCGGAACAACGATTTTATTGAAATCGAATTATTTCGTTGCTGATTATGTTTTACACAAAAGAAGTCTTGCATGTGGTATTGTATTTCTAAATGTAAGCATTTTTAGTTGTCTAATCGTAAGTCAAAAAATTTTGAAGAGTTGATAGTTTTCATACCACTATTGATAGCGTTGAAAGAATTCAAATCATTTTTTTTTTCAAGTATTAGATAGCATTATAAAGAAAATGTTCCGTTTTCATCTCTTATAAATCCCGAAATTTTTGTTTTGATATGATTGTTTCTAGCACATAAAAAAGTGGACAGAAAAATAGTCGCGAGTTAGTTGTAATTTAGGTTTACAATGCTCAAGAATGTATATTTCTTTGTTGTGTGCCTAATTAATTTTAAAAATTACCTGTGTTTCGTGTAATATTTTAAGGAAAGTCATGTGGAGACACCCACGGCCAAGTGGGCACTCGTCGTTATATGGCTCCCGAGGTTTTGGAAGGAGCAATAAGTTTCACACAAGATGCTTTCCTTCGGATAGACATGTATGCTTGTGGATTGGTTTTGTGGGAGCTGGTGTCCCGTTGTACAGCTCAGGATGGTCCAATACCCGAATACCGTCTTCCATTTGAAGAAGAGGTGGGACAGCATCCGAGTTTAGAGGAGATGCAAGAGTTTGTAGTGCAAAGAAAGGTAAGACCTACCATACCAGAAACATGGAGAAATCATCCCGGTCTGGCAACTATTTGCGATACGATGGAAGAGTGTTGGGACCATGATGCAGAAGCGAGACTATCTGCTTCTTGTATCATGGAGCGTGTTATGATGCAATCTAGATATCAATTCACACCTGTTGGATTAAATTTCGACAGTGACAAATCTTTGAAAGAGAATAGTCTCTGAAACAATTGAGTGTGAGAGGTAAAATTAATTGTACCTGTGTAGTTGTTGTACAAGTACTGTTGTTATTTTTAACGCAATTGTGGATATTTAGTTTTCTGGACATGTTTGCCTATTTCGACGTTAAGTATTTAAACAAGTGCAGAGTTTATTATAATGATTAAAAATTAACACATTATTTTGCTTAGTTTTTGTAATTTTATCAAATGCATTTGCACAGCTATATAACTGTATTTTTCAAGCTCCTTTTAATTTATTGGACAATTTGATTTTTATTTTTATTTTGAAAACATTTTTGCAACTTATTGCTCTAAAGAGATTACAAGTTTAATTCTTGTACTTTTTGTTTAAACATTTCTGGATTGTTTCGTAATTCGTTTAAAAATTAATTAAGGAAACGTAGGTGACATTTTTATTTGTTTTTGTTTTTGAGTATTTCTTAAATCTTCATTTTCCTGGAAGTACATAAAGCTTTTCTTATAGAATTATATATAATACTAATAACAGACTTTATATTAAAAAAATTGCGAGTCTTTAATAGAAGTCGCCATTGATGTGCAACATCTAACTTCGCTAACGAGCAAAATTTTCGTAAAAAAATTAGTCGGGTGTTGGTTGAAATGATTTTACATATTTAGTACTATTTTTAGTGAATGTTGTATTTCCACATTACACCCCTAAAATTATTTCGTTTACATTGTTATTAATTGTTTCACAACGTACCTACCTAAAATAGCTGCATTGCATGAAATTAGTCTCATATCCGAGCAGTGAGAAGTTACTCATCAAAATCGGTTAACATAACTTTGTTTTGCTCTTGCCTATAAAATCGTCTTTTGTAAAAATTTTGTTTAATTGCTTATATAAAAAGAAATAATTGAAATGATGACTCAAGTATTAATAATTACGGTTTTAGTTTTTTAGAACTTAAATGCATTACTTATTTCTATACCAAATATACAATATTTTTTCCGCCAAAGAAGGATAATAGGTACGATGCGTGTGATTATGATGTACTTCTTTTTTTTTAAGTAAATCGTAACCAGTGCGGGTGGAACGAACATATTTAGACCACTTTGACTGACGCCCCTATGATTACTAAATTAGGTAAAAACTATACCCAAATTATTTGTTGTTATTCTTCGTATCAGTTTCTCTTTTAATGTCATATTCGATCGACATCATCGCAAGCGCAACCAAACGATATCTTGTGTTATTGAAGATTGCAAAATAATTTTTTACAAATTTTAATTTAAAGAAAGTTCTTCCTTCTGATGCGACTAATATATGGGCAATGTTAATAGGGCACGAAACGTCACATTCATCAACATCTCGAATATTTACGTCTGTTGGAGACAATTCAAAATTTTCGCATTTTATTGAAAATTCTTTGTTACGACATAAATATGAACAAAGAGGAAAACAGATTGCTGTAATTTCGAAGCTTCTGAAATTTCTCTGCTAATGAATTCGTAGCTGTATCTAGGGTGGGAAAAAATAAATTTACGTTATTAAACGTCTGTTTTGGTTCTAAGTCTCCAGTATTGCCAACTCAGTGGATTTTATGTGGCTATTTCTGTTTTTCGATGTATTTGTGCTGTACACTAGGCTTCCAGGGTCGCCCAGCCCTTCCACCGGCGCTGATCAAAATACAAAATAATGTAGACAAAAAAAACGTAATTTGTTCCTCCTAACAATTTTGTTTTATAAAGAGCTGAATCGTATACTAAATATATTTTTAAAAATATTAGTTTCAAATTCTATTTTTTATTATTAAAATTGTCAAAATTTTAATTTATCAACATTAAATACGCTGGTCTATAATTTCTTTTATTGGACTGGTAAAATAAAAAATTTCTCTTTAATTTATAAAAAAAATCTCTCATAACTTATTACGTGCTATTATAAAATGTAGGATATGATGCCAAAAAGTTGTAAAAAAATTTTTCGCTTTCTCCATATTTTTCCCGATTTTATTGAAGTTTTATTTGATTGCTATTTGCTTTTTAAACTTTATAAAGTGTCAAAAGCAAATTCATTTATATGTGTGCATATGTAGGACAAATACATTGAACAAATTAAGAAAGTGGAAGTGTTTGTTAGAAAGGAGCAAAAGTAGAGCAAGTGACAATAACACTTTGTTTAACCGAATTAGGCACACTTGTTATTAATAATTTATTTTAATTTCCGAAAAAAAGGCTTTTTATAAAACAAAGAAGCAATTTATGTTAACAAAGGCAGCTCATTGAAATTGTTCTTATATATTTACGAAGTTGCTAGAGTATTATGTGTTTTTTTAAGATATTATAGGTGTTATTTGAACATTTTACTGAAGTTAGTGTAGTATGTGAATTTATGGAGTGTGTGTTCTTTATCAGCGTGTTCTTGTGAATTTCGTGGAAATTTTTCATGTTCCAGCATATATTTTCTTTTTCTTGTAAAACTGAACATTTCATAATGAACTGCAATGTAGTTTTAGTACATGAAACCTGATGTAAATTTTACTAAGATATAAATGGTCTTTAATTTCCTTCATTTAAAGTGTACAAAGTAACTTTATTTTTATTTCGGATAGATAGTATATACATTTAAGGTTTATTAATATTACTAATCGTCACTTAATCATGAACCGTTTAAAAAAATGCAACTCTCATTTTTTAGATAACAGATACCTGAACAAACTGAACATAGTAAATAAGACTGATTTCAAAATGCCAAATATGTTCTTTTCCTGTACGACCTTTCATACACTGTTGTGTCTTTTTTAATGACATTAACTTATTTATTATTTCTGCCTAGTACATTGCAGCAGTAATGTTGTTTTTATTCCATCAACCATCTAAAACAAAAATATTTTCTCGGTAAGATATTTACTGTAAACTATATCAATAAAAATAACGTTAACGTTAAAAAAAGGAATGAAGTTGCAAAATGTGAATCAGATTTATTCACTTATGAATTATTATCGTCCACCGTTGCTCATATAGTAGAATTATTGTCAGAGATCAAGACAGAGTAAAAAAAATATACAATGCTGTATTAAATAATGAACTAATACTCTTTTCTTCAATCTTGATCTCTAAAAACAATTCTGTTTTATTTACTCAATAATCACAACGCTACAGTCACATGATGGTAATAATAATAATACCTGTCGAAGTTGAGAAAGGGATGGTAGTTATTCTGAAGACTGAGGGTGGGGATGGCAGTTAATGGAACTTGACGATGAAATTGCTGCATTACTAATATATAAATGCCTACCTTTGCACATACATTTTTAGATGGATGAATGTGTACAATGGAGAAATTGAACATTTCTTTCAAATTTATAACTATTTATAATTTGGTAATTATTTTCAAACTACAGAAAAAAATTAAAAAATTAAAAATGGACCTTAAATTTATAAACATACGTATGTACTGAGTACTTCCGATGTCATTAATTAAAGGGTGAGCTAATTCTAAAAAAAAATTTTGGAACTAATTTTTAAATCTTCTAGTATGTGTATAGTGCATAAGTAGTACATATGGCAGTGGTTTCTAACCTTTCTATATCTCCACCCCGTTTCTTTATAAAGAAATTGTTGATATTCGAAAGTGGTATTTTGGTAACAGCTATGCGCCTCCCTTGTAACTTCGGCAGCAAAATTCTTATTTCCGGTATTTCTATGGTATCTAGCGGTATCCTGAACAGTCTTACAAATTCAATTTAATCGTATTTTATTGTCATCAAAACTGTTTTATTTTAGTTTATTGCGATAACCGGTTCAAAATTAATTTTCACGATTTGTAGCAGACAGAAAATGTAAGAGCTTTGAAACAAAAAACATTTTACTTAATTTTAAAAATTTAAGTTTAAATACTTTTTTATCTGAATATCCAGAATAGTATTTTTTGTCAGGATTATCTATATTACTTTCTACTTTGTTTAAATGATACGTTTATAGTTATACCAAAAAGCGAAGAATACCTACCTACTTAATATATTCTTAGCTCTGATAGATGTAATATAAAATAAAAAAAAAAATGAAATTGGTATGTTATGAAGTTATAATTAATGAAATAAAATTTCCGTGCAAATATTGCTAGATATAGTACGTAGCAATTTGCTTTTCTAAGTTACTAACTGGTATATTATTTTGTTATTCAAAAATTGCCTAGGTGTTTCGTTAGTTGAATGAAGGCTGATTTCCTTTGAGGATGTATGTTGTTATTTGATGGTAATTATCTATGGTGATATGTTCTTTGAGTACTACTATTTAATCTATGAGNTTTATAATAGAACATTGTTAACTATTTTTCGTAGAACTGTATTTTGCAGATAGTATGAAATATAAGTTATTTGCCATCAAACGCTCTGCCCTCTTCTATTTATATTTTCTTTTTTATTTTTGTGATGTTCCTGTATTTTTCTGCCTGTCATAACTCGAAGCAAACTACAGACTGTTAACCAGTGTGCCAAATGTTACAAAAATATGTATGTATATGCGTATTTCCCTTCCCATCCTCTTATTATCATTGGTTTCGAATGATAATAAATTCATTATTTGTTAATTTTAAGTATGGTGTTTTACACATATCAATTTGTAAACTAACTTGGATTTTGTGGTTGGATAAAGTGTTTTAAATTTATTATAGAGAAATTAACGTAAATAACGTTTAGAGACGTTTGTAAAATAAAAAATATTAATTGTATAGGCAAATTATAATTATTTTTACGATATATGAAATGCAGGAGAGACGTAGATGAAATATGTAATATTTTTGTAAACGAAGATCGCTATTATAGTGTAAATTTAAGAGAAATTGTTGAATAAGTATTTACATACTATGACAAGATCCTCCTGCATTTTTTTTAGATCGCGATGTTTGAATACAGTCCACGTAGAATGATTGTCTTCACACCTGGTATAAGATAACAACATAAGAGTATTTTGTAAAAGTCTACTTTTCTTATTTTTTTGACATTTTTGCAGTATGTGCCATAAATAAATATATTTTTTAACATTTTGTAAATATATTGACAGTGTTGATGTTACGTTTACTATCGACTTTATATACCTGCATACCTAAATATTATAATTCTAGGTAATCTTTAACTAGTTTTCTAGATTTGAAAAATCAATAATTAAGAAATTGTTTAACAAGTGTCTGAAAAATTGCTCCTCACTTGAGCATTCTCAAATTTTATGATGTACGATTGTCATATATTTGTAGAAATATAAAATAAAACATTAATATATTTTTTTTTCTTCAATAAAACTACAATACAATCAAAAATAATGAAAATAAAATATTGACTAAAAAAAGAGTTTGCAGTAATTTCGTCAATAAGATAAGCTGCGACCAGTAAAGCTACGTCAACCTTCCCAATGCAAATAAAGCATTCGCAATTACCGAAGTTCCGCATATATTTTCACATCTACTTCTGCATCTGATTCCGCATTTTTATAACAGGAGCTTATCGGAACTTAACAAAATCGTATTTCTCATATCGTAAAATAGTCATAAAATACCTATATAGGTAGCTACTGATATATGCAACATAAGGTATAATCATCATCATAAGGTCGCAATATAAAGTATACCTACCTACAACTATTTAAACCTATAATTCGACTAATTATTCAACTATACCTATGACAACTATAAATACTTTGATAATGTGAATCCTAATAAGAAACAGGTTGGAAACGCTAGATAGAGACATATTAGAAGCAGCAACAGCTGCTAAGAGGAGGAGAGGTAGACCTACTAGATTATGTTATTCACAAAAAATTAAGGATGTGGGATTTTCTAGTTTTAAGGAAATACTAAGGTTAGCTTAGGATAGGAAAGAGTGAAGATACGTGTTTAACCTGTTTTAGGACTAACGACCTTGTAATGATATTGATGATGGTGATGTAGATGATGAAGATGAACGTAATAATAAACTAATAAATACAAATAATAAGGCATTTCAAAAATTACAAGAGACCGAGAAAGAACTTACATATTTAAATCAGCCCAACAAACAATTAAGACATCAAAAAGTATAAAAAAAAAAACAATTGTGTGGTTTTATGAAACCACGATGCAAGTGAAACTTTTCGAATTGTGGGTCTTTAACTGTAAATTTTCGGAAAATTATTCGATTTAGGGTATAATCTTAATGATTGGAAAATGAGAACGATAATAGGAAATCAATAGTAGACAAGATATCCAACTATAAATTTTAATTTCAATCTGCGTATGAGAGTATGAAATACATAATAAATACAATCATTCAGATGCTAGACGCATGTTAAAAACTAAGAACAATATTTATTTAAATCATTGAATCATTTAGAACTTCAGTTATTCCATCAATAATTTCATCTTCGCTTTGAGTTTCACAGTCTATAAAAGCAATTGTCATGCACTTGCACAAATGAGTGAGAAAATAAATGCTACACTGTTAGCTCATGCAAGCCGTAGGCGTAATTATATCTGTCGGCCACTTCCGGTTATTGTGGAAGTTGATGCTAACTTTGTAATTTTAAATAGAATATAACCATTCTGCTTGTAGAGAATTCTCATAATGAGTTCCTATAAGAAAGTTCTGTTTATAATTAATTGTGGTTTTATCTGAAATGATCGCGAAATTATGTTATGACGAAACAAGCGACGTAAGATGTGTGTCGAATCTCGAAAAAATACTAAGAACTGGAATATTAACATGACTATTACATTAATCAAATCTAGGTTAAAACGTACTAAACTGAAAAGTGAATTTTCATGCACTGAACGTGAAACGTGGCAAGGAAAGGTTACGTTACGCTCAAAACAACGAAATAAACTTAAGGGGATTCCCTAATTACCCAACGGTCTAAAAAACAGAACGAACATTTTCAGTGTGAGTAGATAGTGAAATTGAGAACGCCGGCGCTTTTTTATTGTATGCTGTTCTAAATGATAATTTAAAGAGATACTTTAACAGGAAAACAGTAGACGAGTAGGTTAAAGGAAAAAACAGCAAATTTAGTATTAAAATAGTAAGCATGGCAATACAGCCTGCAGAAAATGACAAACATCAAAGTTTACAGGTTATGTTGTTATGTGTTGTATTATTTGTTCAGAGGTTTAGACAAGCAACAAATTAGCGACTTATTATGAATATAATGTGTTCTTGTTTACTGCCAACAAGTAATATCCTATCATAATAAAAGTAGAGATGTAGACTGGTGCAAATTTTTATTCCTGGATTGATAGGTGAACTTTTATTATAAGATGGAGGCTGGGTGTTCAACAGTGGAATTGCAAGAGAAAGAGGACGGAGAAATTTTAACATCAAGTACTGAGGGAGTATCTACTACAGATCTTCTAGCATCTCCCGTGAAAGCATTAAAATCTTCTAGTCGCTTAAATGACTCTCCTTTATTGAGAACCAAACTTACAATTAATATTAACCAACAAAGTCTCAGTAATCGTTTGCAAAGTACATTTAATAATGTAACTGCTATAAAACCTACTGAATCAAATAGTGCAATTAGTACACCAAATACGGACAATCTTTTGGACTTGAATTTTCCAAAATTTAATGTTCTTGGGAAAGAACAAGCAAAAAAAAGGCTTCAAGCATTTTCCATGTTCAAAAACAATTCTTTAAAGTTGCCTATTAAAAAAAACATCAATAAAAGCAAAATCCTTACTCAGTTTACCGAAGATGTTTATAATGAAGATGGTGAAAAAATTGATGAAAAGACAATTACGATCTCTAGACCTTCAAGAAAAGGTATATTACCTTTTAATTTAAATAACCTATTTTATATAAAACAGAAATAATGTAAAAAATATGTATTTGAATTTATATAGAATAATGATTAGAATGAGCATAATATGCTTTTTGATGACCATATATGTAAAAGAAAAGTTTTTTTAATAACTTTGTACTCTGGATAATTCAAATGTGGGAAAACAAGCAGCATTGTCATTTTTTATCTCCATATTAGTAATACAATACCAAATAAAATTAGTTTCAAACAATAAAGCATATTATGCAACTTTTAATATATGAACCATTCTGTATGCTTTTATTTTTTTGAGGAGAAAGAAACAGATACTTATATTTTCAATTACTTGTATAATAGTGTATTCCTTTTTATATAATTTAATAATTAACGTGTTCAGAAAACTACAATTTTTTATAACTTATTGATACTTTCAAACTAAAACAAAAATCTTCATTATGAAATTCAGTATTCACCTATTTCTGGTATCAGTAAAATTTTATTCTAGTGACTAATCCTGAAAAAAAGGCCAAAACAGTAATAGAGGAAATTGAAGAGATAAAAAAGATAGAAACAGCATATAGAGAAGCTCTTGAAGACAAGTTACTATCTGATTTCAAGAAACGTAATCATAAGAATAGGAAAGAAGAAAGAGAAAAAGAAAAAACTAAAGATTATAAATTACAGTCTACACAAAGAGGTATATAGTTTTATTAATGAAACTAATAATTAGTATTATTTTTATTACTAATTCTAGACACGAATGAAAAGAAAGTCAAAAATCTTCCTAATAATTGGAAGGAATTCATAGATAATAACTTTGATGTATATTCCATACGTGCATTTAGGAGTAAAGAGAAGGATCATATTATAACTGAGTTAGTTCATACATTTTAAATAGAAGTATTATTTGAGTAACATGCTTATTGTTAGTTTCAGGAAACAGTTACTTTTCGAAAGTTATGCATTTCCTTTAAATTCAATAACTGTTAAATCTACAGCAGGCTTAGATAAAATTGTTCCTCCAGAATGTATAAGGTGAAGTATTCTTATACTGACTGTATTATTGAAAAAAATATGCTTTTTAAAAATATAGATTTACAAAGTGTCATCCAAGTATATCTTTTAATGTGAATCCATGTGTTTCAAATGGAAAGTACCTTTCAAGGGCTGAAGTTTTTAATTATGTTCCAAAATCTCATATCAACATACTGAATAATATTATATCCAGCACAGCCACTCTTAGGTATAAAGTTTCATAAACTTTTAATCCTAATTTTTTATTAACAAATAAATTTTTTAGACATGTGGAGGTAACACAAACTAAAGTGCGCAAGTGGTATCCCAAAATTGGCTTAACTCCAGTGTATGCAGCTGAGTGTGAAGTATTAGAACCCTCACTAGGTCTTTCATTTCTTAAAAGTTATTCTGGCGAGGAGGAAGAAGAGGATGTGTCAATTGAAAATAATTTTGAACAGTTAAATAAAGAAAATAAGACTAATTTGGAAAGTGCGCCAAAATATACCGATGTAAATGTAAAAGATGATCTAAGAGGCCAAAGCATAGAGAATGAAAAAGAAAAAAAGGAGAATATAAGTAAAACGGACAAGACTAACGAAAACAAGAAGAATATTAGAAAGCAAAAGAAAAACCAAGAGGAATCTGATAGTGAAGAAGGTAGTAATTCCGAAACAGAGTCGGATGATCGAGGCAGTAAACATGAAAAAGAAAAGAAAACTTCAAATAGAGGTGGCAACTCAAATAACAGAAAAGATTCCCATAAAGTAAAAAAAATTAAGAAAAATTTTAGGAAAGAAAAAAAGAAGAAAAAGAAAAAGGAGACTGACAAAAGCGATTCTGAAAACAACGAAAGAGGAAAAGAAATAGACAAAGACGGGGAACAGTGTCATTCTAAAAGTAAATCTTATGATAAAGAATATAAAACTACTAGACACATAGATGTTGAAGAAAGAAGTATAAATCAAAATGACAATAAACGAAATAGTAGCGAAGAAATAGAAAAAGAGAATTTGAAAGTAAGAAATATGGAAGAACAGAAATGTTTTAGCCCTAGGCTTACAAAAAGAGAAGATCGAAAAAATTATTCTAAGCACAATGAAAAGGTACGAACTAACCTTTTTGAAGAAAGAAGTAAAAGTAATGATAAGAGTTTTCATGGTGAGAAAGGAAGTACCAGCAAACGAAGAGATATTTCTCCTGCATATAGATCCAAAGAAAACAGAAATGTAAGAAAAAGTACCAGCTCCTCAAGAAAAAGTAAATCACCTGAAAGAAAAAAAGTTTTGAAAGATGACGATAGAAATACTGATTATAGAAACGAAAATAAAAATGACACCAAATTTAGATCGCGTTCACATGAGAACTCACAAAGAAAGTCTAAAGATAAAACACCAAGAGAAAATCAGAAGAAGCCTAAAGTTAAAAGCATCGCAGAAACAGAATTTGGTACACCAGATACAAACGATTATCATTCAAATTGGGAAAGTGATAATGAACTGATAACGCCTGTTAAAGACGAACAATCAATGGTTGTGGAAAATAAGCCAACAGAAAATCTTTGGAGGGATACTCCCACAAGAGAAGAGTCGATATTTTTAGTAAAATCACCGTCAACTTCAAGCTACTCTAATAATAAGATAATAGCAGACGAATTTCTGATATCGCCTCATCGAAGCAGATCTCCTAAACGACAAAAATGTCGCAAATCAGTAACACCTCCATTTCGATTAGATTACAGAGAGTTGAGAAGACAAAAAGTATATGAGAATAAATCCGCAGAAATGCCTTTTTTCCCTTCTATAAATTATTCTTTAAATTTAAAAGATAATATTAAATCATTTGAGGATTCTTTCCAAGACAATCCGCGATCGAGAAAAACTTCTCCTGCATGCGAGAAATCTCCAAGGAGAAATAAAAATTTAGACAAATCACCAAAACGCAGACCTCATCGATATTTGCAAAGAAATTACCGAAGTCCTTCCCGTGATGATTTTAGACTCGAAGATGAACCATCAGGAAATATTTTTGATATTTCTGATAAATACGGATCATTTGAGAAGTCTCCAGTTAGAAGATCCACGAAAAGATATTTAGATTACTCTCCCAAAAAGAAAAAAGAAGGTAAGCTTTCACCTGTCAGAGGTATTCGATCGGTTGAAGAAGACAATTATAAATCTACAACACGCGAAAATTGTACATCTGTGGAAAGGAATACTTTTAGAAGATCAAATTCCGATGAAAGACGATTATCTGAAGTAGGTTATAGACGATCTGTTTCTATAGAAAATTTTAGAAGATCTGTTTCATTAGAGAAAATGTCAGAGCAAAACAGAGTATCATCAACTGATGAAAACTTTAGAAAAAAATGTTTAAGTCAAATTTCACCTAGCATTGACTACAACATTTCTCCATCATACCACAAAAACGAGCATTCATCTTATGATGTTTTATCATCATTTGGAGGGCCTTTAGAAATGCCGCTTAATATCAGACATAAAAGACGAGAGAGTTTAGAGGTGACATGGAAGAATGATGATTTCTTTAGAAGTAATAGAAGAATAAGTTACAAAGAGAGTAGTTACCAAATTTTTTCTGAAGATAGTTGGGAAAGAGATGATTATAAAAAGATTGACCTGGAGATGGAAGAACGAACTTTAGAAGAGGAGAGATTAAGGTTAATTGAAGAAAGGAGAAAGGTAGCAATGGAAAGAAGGCAACTAGAAGAGATGGAAATGGAAAGAAGAAAAGCAGAAGAATTTGAGATAGAAAGAGAAAAGCTTGAATATGAAAGAAGGCATATTGAAAATAGAAGAAGAAGAATAACTGAAAATATTGGGGCTAATGATGATGGTTTATTATCTGATGATGATCTTGGAATAAATCGAAATTATCGAGAACGAAAACATACATTCAGTGGCTTAACGTATTCCAAAGGAAAAACAAAACATTTAGGTGTAGAGTCAAAAAGAAACTTTTCCAACAAACGAGATTGCCTGGAGAGTTTTAAAGAAAATACAAGTGAAGGAAAAGTGGGCGAGCAAACTGAAAAGCGAAGTGTGTGTAGATCATCAGAAAAACAAAGAGATGTAGATGTATGTTCAGAACCTTTGCGTGTTTCTTGTTCATCTAATGAGGCGTTTCTAGACAGTTTTTCAAAATCAAAACCGGAAGTTCTAGAGAATGAATATGAAAAGTTTATGCAGGCAGTTTCTAAATCTGAAAAAGTTTCGGGTAATGACATCGATTATGTTCAAAAAGAAAAATCAGAACGTCGTAAAAGTTCGGAAAAAAGGACAGAGGCTAAAAGAAAGAAAAGGTATAGTACGTCAAGTAGCAGTAGCAGTTCTAGTAGCAGCAGTGACAGTACCAGTAGTGATTCTAGTTCTTCCGGTTATACTGATTCTGAATCGTCTACATCAGATTCAGAATCAACAAAAACTAAAACAAAACGTTTGGAAAAACACAAAAAATCAAAAGACATCAACAGTGAAGTAAACGGAATGACAGAAGAAAGAGAATTTAGTAATGTAATAATCAAGATGGAACCACCAGATGATGATGTAGTCATGAAGTCAATTTCTGTTTTAACCCAGAGAGATGTAGATGATTTTAATCTGGCACCAATAAAATCGGAAAAAACTAATATTCCAAAACCTGTCTCTCCTGTTTCAATAAGCGAACAGTCAAATATATTAAAAACTAATTTTACAGACATAAAATTGTTGGATATTCCTTTGCCAGGAAGTGTACTGCCCATTCCATTTGCTGCTAAAGCGGCTGTTGCTGAAATACCCCTTCCTTCATTACCCATTCCTGTACCTTCACCTGTTGTGGCACCTGCGCAAATTGTTTCCTCAACTGTTGCATCTACCTCGGATTTTTCTTCAATGTCGCCAAAAATCAAAATCGAAGCAGAAACATCTAAGCCAGTACAGGCGTCTTCTTCTAAAAAGGTTAATTTAATTCCCATTAAGTTATTATCTGCTGAAACTAGAAAGCAAGCTAACCAAAGTCCACTGGCGGCATCTGTAGGCACAATAGATATCAAAAGTTCGAAAGTTAGTTCAACAACGTTAACAGAAGATGATAAAGTAGGCGGTGATTCCCTGAACACTGATTCACATAGTGTTAAAAGACAAACTCGATTTATCGGAATGAGTATTCCTAATAAGAAATTATTATTAGATCGTTCAGTTCTTTTTGGAGATGAGGACGACGAAGAAGCAGTCGAAATGTCTGACTCTTCTCTAAATAAAGTAACAGGGGAGTTGCCTGAAAAGCCTGATGATGATATAATTTCTTCGGGTGATCGTAGAATAACGACTTCCAATAAAGAATTGAAAGTTGTTTCAAACGATGCTTCGGGTTATATCAAACCTAAAGAGATCAACAAAGAAACGACCGACTTCCTTAGAGAGGAACCTGAAAAAGTAGTTTCTTCGCCAAAATTGGAAAAATCAATGAATAGAAGTCCGTCCAAAAATGATAAGAAATCTTCGAAGGTTTACAACAAACGTCGAGATTCTTCACGTGATAGAAGTAAGAGGCGGAGAAGTAATTCACCATATAAAGAAAGACGACGAGAATCTCCCCGAAAAAGAGGTTCATCACCGAAAAGAAGATCACCTCGTCGTAAGCGCGAAAGTAGAAGAAGGGGCAGTATTTCGCCTCGTCGAAAATCTCCTAGAAGGGATTATTCTCCTAGAAGAAGAAGTCCTTCCCCTAGAAGACGAAGAGAGCTTTCACCTAAGCGAAGAGAAAGTTCTCCAAAAAGAAGAGTGCATTCTCCAAGAAGAAGAGATTTGTCACCAAGACGAAGAGCAAATAGTCCTTCTCCACTGAAGAATAAAAATGAATCAATCCAAGAAGCTCTTCAACGTATTGCTGGTATCAATCAACCCTCTATTAGAATTCATCAATCCCCGTCTGTTGCCTCACCCATAGACGGATCTAGGAAAAGTGTTGCTGATTCAACGATTAGTGATGAACAGCTGATGTTACAGAATGCTGGTAATATTATTGAATCTCCTGTATATTACTCAAAGCAATTTCAAAATACTTGCGCTCCGATGCATTGCGATTCTCCAATTTCACCTAGAAGGCCTTCATTGGATGAAAGAATTGTAAAGGAACTTGGTGCCGAAAGAGAAGACCCGACTAAATTAAGAGAAGTAAATATCAATTATGAACAAATTTATAGTTATAATATGGATTTTTATGACCAATATTCTGAAAATTACCACCTCCACTATCAACACGATCAGCATGTTTATAATGCAAGTTACCAAAACACACAGATATCAGCACCGGTTAGTAAAGTAGTACAGGTCGGTAATGTATTGCAAGTTGTACCAACGGATGACTTATCCAAACTTCAGCCTTCGTTACCAGTACCGCAACCTAAACAGGTATTTTGTTTGTTTTTATTTTTTTTTAATAATTATATTTGTGAATATATTTTTAGGAGCTTACTGGAACCCAAAAAATTCTACAAGTGGGTAATATGCTTCAAATAGTTCCTACTGCGGTTTCTACTCCTGCACCTGTTGCGGCACCGGAAGTTGTAGTGGAAAAAGGATCTTCTCCACCGCCTCCGGTATCGGCATCGATACCAATACAAGAAGTTAATCTGAAGAAAGTTGAACGACAGACGGAGAAAGAAAAAAGAAAACTTGAAAGAGAGAAAAAGCGACAAGAAAAGAAAGCAAGACGACTTGAAAGAGAGAAGAAAAGGCAACTTAAACTGAATCAGAAGACTGAAGATATGATAAAGGTATGTTTTTGACAATATTATGTTTGTGAATGTCTCTTTAAAAATATTAAGTGGTCATACTGAAGAATTATTAATTTTAGATAAATATTTATTCTATGATTTTTCTTAAACTCACTTCTTTCTTTTTCTTGCTGCTGGTAAGTGGCCATTCAGGCTATGCTATCTATAAAAACGGAACTAACCAAACTAGATAAGTACAAGTTGTTGTAATTGGTTTAATTTTTGTAGCAAGCATTACTAGAAGAAACTGATGAAAGAGTAAACACTGAAGAGAAAACGGACGAAAACGAGTTGGTTCAACAATGGCCTCCTACGGTTGTAGTCACTAATAATGTAAAATCCCCAGGAAAAGGAATTTTAGTATCTTCGAGGTAAATTAATAGTTTTACTTAAAGGAAAAAAGACTAATGTTATTTGATTTGCTTACATAAAGGGTGAATATAAGTGGCGCAGATGACGAAAAAAAAGTGGAAAAGAAAAAAAGCGTTTCTTTTGCTGATGGTATTTTGCCTGGCGAAGGTACCTCTCCTTCAGGAGGCGAAGAACTATGTTCGCCTCCACCTCCCGCCAAGAAGTTACCGAAAGAAAAACGGCTTAAGAAAACCAAAACATCTAAGAAAATAAAGCTACCTAAGAAAAAAGTCAAGGTAAGAAATGTTTGTAGCAAATTTCGTTTAATAATAAGATTTAGTAATTACTTTAAAGCAAATTTGTTTATAGGACTATTATTTTTTATTCTTATGAGCACACTTCCTTTGTCTTAAAATTTATTGGCTATTGAGTAGTGTATATTTTACATAACATATGCACAATTTATTTACGGTAGATGTTGCAATTTAAAAATTCATTTTAAATCAAAGTGAAAACGGTGTGTGTGTCGGACTGTATGTTGTTGAAATAATTGACGTATGTACGTACATGAGAAAGGAAATTAGTAGGTGTCTAGTGCAATTTGTTCAAATAAACCACATTATATTATGTGATATATCTGGTTTAATCAAATAGAACACTGTTGTAGAGTGATGGAAAATTAATAATTTTCAATTGTGATTAATTTATGAATTTATGTATTTAACATATTTTTGAGTTAAATTTTATTTATAATTTGCAGAATTTGTAGTTTTGTTATTTTATAGTTTAGAAAAATTGTTGACTACAATTACCAGAAAGCTATTTTATTACCGTTTTTTGACAATATGAAAAGTTATTTTTAGAAAAGTAATAAAACAAAGAAAAGAACGTTTGTTTTAAAAAATTGGTTAAATTGGTAATTGATATCATGGAATCATCTATTAAAAAACTAATGTCTGATTCTACTATAATAAAAACAAAATATCAGAAAAATAAATAAAAAATGGATCACTAAGTAAATAATCAAATGGTAAAACTGAGAATGGGTTATACTTTGACTGTCGTAGAGATAGTCAAAATCAGAAAAAAACTATAAACATCTTGCAAATTGTTTGTATTTGAAAATTTGTAAGGCCAAGGAAGCTCACGATTGTAGAGCGGTACATGACAAGTGTAACAGCAGAGATATTAGGGCGCACGTCAAGGATAAGATTAGTAATACTACTAAAAAACAGGAGTTTGAGAGTATCAAGGTAGTGGGAAAGACTAAAAAGGACAAATTAGACATTGTAAATACCTTAAAGTTGTTCAGACTCTTGCTAGCATCTTTGACTGATGTCTCGGCGCATATATGATTATGTTTGTTTTGGAATTAAACCGATATAATAGAGACTCACCATTATTAACAACATGCACAATCCTCTAGCGGAAGAATTGATGGCGTTTGTACCGTGCTAATCAAGTGTTTGACGTTAATCATTTCTAATTCGTAAGCAATGACCATATTCGCTAATCACACCGAAATAACTTAGTATGGTAAGGAGTGGAGTGTGGTAGAAAAAGATATGAATTTTAAATAGAATAGGGCTGTTGCTTGGTTCATGTATGTTGATAAAGCAGTCTACATGACTTACCAATTACAATGATTCGCTTCCGTTATACCTTAACATTCGGGTCTAATGACGACCAATGTCTAGAGTAGAAGCAACCACATACTTGGGTTTTAAAATTGATTATTACTTTCAAGTGGGGAGAGCGTATTGACTATATTGTAGTCAGGAGCAAATTTGTTTATTTGTTTCTACTACCTCTAGTTGGTTTCCCATAATGTATATGGTATATGTTTCGTGAGCAAGTAAAAGTCATAACAGCGCTTTTGTTTATGATTAGTTTTAATTTATTGGTAATAGTCCAGTTATGGAGCTCTTCAGTGGCTTGTTGCAGTAGTGAGAGGTTATTAGGACAAGTTATGCTTCTGAGTATTTTTAGGTCGTTTTTAGTATGTGAACTTCCAGCCTATATCATTTATGAAGACATTAAAGAGGTGCGAGCCTTGAGGTACGCCTGACATTGCATGAAATTGACGTGATTCGACGTTAACTTGTAACTGTTTTGATAAATAAGAAGTGATTCATTTTAATTTGTTCCCTCTTACTCTATACAATTTGAACTTATTAATAAATATGTTATGATCGACCATGTCGAATACGTTGCTAATGTCTATATAGATTGTGTGGACTTCGTTGTCGTTACTTAAAGACTTGAGGATGTAATTAAGATATATGAATAAGTTGGTTTGAGGTGGAATTTAGTATGAATATTTATCATGTTTTTCTTTTTAAAACAACTATATACTGTATTTATACATTTCTTTATTTAGAATAAGCTTAACATCACATGCGTCAAAAATTTTAACTACAATTACATAAAAAAGGATGAAAAAAGGGCGGAAGAACTATTAAAGGAATTAAAGGATTTAGAAGAAATAGAGGTACGCGGGAGGCCATTCTAGCTTTACGGGTAATAACAGAGAAAGCGATAGAAAAAGGAAAGGGTGCGTACATAGGATTCGTAGATTTAGAAAAAGCTTTTGACAATGTTAACTAGGACAAGATGTTAAATATACTTAAAAATGTACAAATAAGTTGCAGAGATAGAAGAGTGTTACTTAGTTTGTATAAAAAACAGGCAGTAAAGAGCTGGAGTAGTAACGTAGAGAAGTAAATATTAAGAAGGGAGTAAGACAAGGATCCACACTGTCACCGCTACTTTAGATATACAGGAGCAAAAATTAGTATGCTTAGATTTGCAGATCATATAGCAGTATTAGCATCTAGCAAGGAGGTATAGCTTCAAATAAAATGGAAGCGGTATTGACAAAACAGTACTGTATGAAAATAAATAAAAGTAAAACAAAAATACTGGTATGTAAGGTAAGAAAAAGTAGGAAAAGAGCGAATGTAAAGGTCGGAGACAAAAAATTAGAAGTGGCTGATTTTAAGTATATAGGAAATCAGATAAGTCAGGACGGAAAGAGTAGTAGGGATATAAAACAGAGGATTGCGCAGTTGCCTTCAATAAAAAGAAGCGACTTCTATGCTCGCAAACGGTTGATTTGGAAATTCGAAAAAGATTGTTAAAAGTTTATGTTTGGAGCGCGGCGGTGTATGGGTGCGAAACATGGACGGTGGGGTCGGTGGAAAAGAAAAGGTTGGTAGTGTTAGAAATGTGGCGTTACAGGCGAATGATGAGGATACCGTGGATAGAGATGATTAGAAATGAAGAGGTATTAGAACGAATAGTAGAACAGAGAACTTTATGGAAGTCAATAAGAAGTAAGCGGGGTAGGTTGATAGGACACGGATACTTTCTCAGGCACGAAGGACTAGTCAGAGACATATTAGAAGCAGAAACAGAACATAAGAGGAGTAGAGGTACACGTAGATTATATTACTGTTCTAGTTTTAGGGAAATGCGAAGATTAGGTACGTCCAACCATTCTTAGGAGAGACGATCTTTTGATGATATTAATGAACAGTAATCTTAGAGTGACTACTACGGACTGTTTGTTATCCTGGCCACTTACGGCATCATTACATAGGATAGAAGACTATCAGCCCCTAAAGTCTCTTATAAAATTAACGCAATAATAGCCGATGACTACCAGTCGAATCTTAAACAGCAGTATTTGTATTCAATTTTACTACATTATGACGACCTTCAGGATAAATGGTATCTGCAAACACCAAAACAAGGAGTATTTCGCTCTCTATTAAGAACTTGAAAGTTAGCTAATTGAACACTATTTTTCTATAGTGACGTACAACAAACTTCTCTGTGAGTTTAAGGAAGCACCCGAAATAGATATCGTCCGAGATAAATTGCGAAAATATTTCAAAAGCAGTCATTTCCGGTCTCATTACTCTTATCGAGTTTACTGTAGAGTTTGTACTAATTTTGGATTAACACCGATTAACTGATTTACGTATTACCAAGATATTTATTCATTCATTTTTATTTTTAATATTACTACTCTTTTTCATATCAAAATGTTATATTTTAAATTGTATAGTAACTGCACGTCAATACCAGGCAGTGCACAAAAAACATTTCGCCTTCTACTAGCATTTGTATACACATATAAAAATGTATATATATACTAATACTTTTATGCTGGTATCAAATATATTTGCAAAAAGTTTGTTAAACAAAATAGGTGCAAGTCAACAATTTTTAATATTTTATTAATTTGTTTATAGATTATTATTTTTTTAATTTGAGTTTTTTTTTTGTTCTTTTTTTTTCAAATAAATTAAAGGTGAAAGTAATCCGGCAGCAAAATCAAACGGAAGAAGATCACGACGGCGATGAGGATAATCTACCTCCACCCCCACCTCCCCCAGGTTCACCGCCTCCCCATATATTTCCTCCTAGAATCAAAACGCACATAAACAATATTCAGCCGTCACTCATGTCTGCATTGCCAAACACTCAGGTACTTCCGTCAGCAAATAGCTATAATCTTTACCGACATCCTGTTCCCGTCATAATGCCACCTTCTGTAGCTCATCATGGAGGACCACCTGGATCTAGCGGTCTTCATGGACCTGGTGGATTACCGGGTAAATATTTTTAAGTTTTTTTTATTAGTTTAATTTATGTTGGTTTGATGAAACCAAGAGAACTTATCCCAAATTCTGGTTTACTACTTACTTTGTTACAGTCTTCTTTTATATTTTTATTAGATCGTATCGTAAAAATAGTTTATTATTCCATAAAGCTAAGGAACGTCAACGTTTGAGAGTTAGTATAGCTGTCTATAGTTACTTGGTCTTCAGTATAACCATGTGTGCTAGTGTCAGTTGGTGATCTTTTGGCTTGATTTTTTTCTTTTTGTGTTTTGTTTTGTTTGCTTATAATTTACTGTCTGACTTTACGTTTCTAGGCCTTAAACTGTTGTGTTAGTGGATTTACTTGTTTGACCCAATTGTCCAACTTTTTAAAGTCATTGTGTGCGTAAGTGAGTTGATGGCTAAGAATCTTAGTCAGTCAACTATAAAAAAGAAAAGAAGAAAGTCAAAATTTCACTAATTAACACCTTCACATATTATTATGTTAAAAATCAAGTTACGGCGGTCATACCATTGCGTTCCAATGTTTACATTCAATTAATTATCAATTATATACATATCAAAAACCATTATTTTGATGGAATGTAGAATATTATTATGTGAGATATGATTAGAATCTAGTGAATTATTTTTTTTTAATTATTTAACCATGAAATTTTTTATTAATATTTTAATTTGTGTGTTTAAATATACATATATAAATACAACTTGTTATATGACTTTTTTTATGTAGGGCCTCATTCTGTACCGCATGTGCCACCTCTGTCCGGATCCATTCATCCTGGATCGTCGCACCCCCAGGGTTCTCACTCAACCTTGTTTTGATGTGTTAGTAATTTTAAATTAACAGAAAGAAATGTGAGCCGATTGTGAATTAGTGTTTGAAGGATTAGTTCATTTTTTGGACTGAATTACATTTTTTGTTGGTTTTAAATTATTTTCATTTATTAGTTTATTTATTATTATTAATACACGTATGTATGTGTACATTTTCACCATGTATTCTTAGGAGATTGACTGTCTAATTGTACATTATTAAATTAATGATTTTGATAAATATAAAGATTAAACAACTGAAAAATAGTCTTTCCTTAAGAGTTTTAACAGTATGATTGCTTCCTCATTAATTAATAACGTAGTAGGTTACAATTACAATTAACGTCCTGAATATATTTACTGATTTTCACCCCTAAAGCTGATTTAACCTAGTTCATTCATTTCGTGCTGTACTTTCGGAGTTTACTAAAAATGCATTCCTATTTTAAATTCGAAATATTGTTATACTGATTGTTCCTCCAAACAAAACGAATACTTTTTCACTATTGTTTTTATAAATTCCAAAAGTTCACTCATATTCAAAAAATGGAAAAATTGATTATAAAAGCACATTCATCTTGCTAACAAATTTAATTTTAATAATTTTATTACAAATTTCAAAGACCTATTGTATTTTTAAGATGAGCAGATTTCTGGATCCTGTAAAAGATTAACCTTTGCTCTATTAAGATTTCTAGCTCGAAGAAATTGATTTACTCTAGCTTGTTGTTCTGATGTAAAACTGGGGTTCCGACTCAACACATGCAGAAATTCTGAAAATAATTGAAAACTTAAGATACTGAAGGGCAACGATTGATTTTTTTATTCCTTTGTTTTCTCCATTTTAATTTCATAATTGAAAAATTATTTCTGTGAAAACCGATATTGCAGGAATGGAGTGAAGAAAGGAAACTATTTTTTAAAGTCGGTTGAAAGAAAACCTATACCTAAAAACTAGAAAAAAAAAAAACTAATAATAACCATCAAAATCGCACCTTACGGTTTAAATTAACAGCGGAAATAGAATCTCCCAAAGATATCGTGTTTCAACGCTTAGGGGATAAATTTTAAGACGCTGTATTTCTGTATGTATATGGATTGTTGTAGACCAACGAGTGTGAAGATACTTTTCTTAGATATTTTTGCAGCAAAACTTTAACTTTCGGTTCACACCCCGCCTCCCAAACGAAAGGTATAAATCAAAATCATTATTTTTGAAGATAAACTTCGCTACTCGATTCCGCAACATGTGCGTTGATGCAAAATAAAATTCCAATCTTAATGGCGAGTGGCGTTGCTAATAGTCTTAACTTAGGTATTTTGCTAGCTTTGTATGAAATGATGGCCCATTAAGATATTTCAGAATTAATAATAATACTTTGAATTTAGTTTTAAAATTTTGGTGTTTGAAGTTTTTGAGGTGCTCTCTTGAAATAACATTCTTGTAGAACATTCTTATATTAAATGGAACACCCTATATATTTTCGAATTTTCGGGATCTGTTTGTTATTTTAGAGGAACATTTATAAAGCTTCCCCATATCTAGGTTTGCTAGTGTTGCAGATATTTCAACTTCATCAAAAAAAAATGTTTTTCCATTGTAACTGATTTCTTAAAATTATTCTTAATTTCTTTCTAGTCATTGGTGGCAAATTAGAGTACCTCTCATTAAAAGTTCTGCATATTCTATTTATAATTCCATTGCACTGTCTATGAATAAATATCTCAAACACTAGTAGACCTAGATATAGGGAAGCTTTATAAATGTCCCTCTACAATAATACCTAATTTAAAAATTCAAAAATATACTGGGTGTTCCATTTAAAATAAGGAAGTTGATGTCAACTTCCGGTATAACCGGAGAGCGCTCCTGAAAACATGGGTCAGCTTAACTTTCAAAACGCGGATCTATCGTACGCAATTGTATTTGTTATGGTTCTGGGATATATTGGGTTGACTTTGCGAAACGCGAAACCGCTACACGGAAGCATTTCCAAAAGTTCCATATGATGGTGACGAAAACAAACACTATTGGGATCTTATAAAAAGCAAACATAAATGAGGAAAAGGGAGATTAAGTGTAGTCTGTGATGCAATCGTGAAGTCGGGAGGAGGAGGTGATCCATCGGTTTATATAATTCGGGAATCGTCGAATGCATCTGGCGTTGGGTTGATGATTGCAATCCTCAGAGAGTGAACCGGTGCAGCGAATAGCTTTCACACGGAAGTCAAGGAATATTAAAGGTACGACCGTTTAACTTAATCTCTTTCAGTGAGTTGTGGCTCCTATCTAATAATTTGTGTTTTATACTTATTGTTGTTCGTTTGTCGTTAGTTTAAGTCTTTCAGTATAAGTTGATTTGACAATGGTTGTGCTGCATATACAATAATAAAGAGAAAACAGGTGTTGGCAAGAGTCTCCTACGCCAAGTGACCCCCTCCCAACCACGATACAGTGCATACAAGTTTTAAAAGTCCTTTATAGTCACTAAAAATTTAGTGCGAAACTATAGTAGAGATTTGCAGACGATACTTATTGTTCCAGAAGACTCTAAAAAATGGAACAAATAATACTCTCATTACAGATAGCAAGTAGGACTATAGGTTTAAAAATGATTTTAAGTAAGAACAAAACCACGACGAACTCCGTAAAATACACCATAACTATTGGAGGAGGACCATTTGAATTACGGGCGCATGGAGAAGGTTTTAGAGTCTAAAAGAAATATTAAAAAGCTCTGTATCTATAAANATTTGGTTGCATATACCCTAACGCATATATTCGAGTGTATATAATAGCAGTTACTAATTGTTGTCATTAGCACAATCTAGCATGCACCAACCTATGACGGTAAACGATCGAAAAATAGTTTCATTTCTTTATCAAATCAGTCCTTACATTGCCAACTCATGTAGATACATCCTCAGATTTACAGCTTTCAAAGTAACATATATAGTGCTTTCGTAAATGATCGAGAGCCACGTAACCTCATTTTTAGTAACCGATAGTGTACCTACTAGTTGATTTGAGATTTACGCTTTGAATCTGGTTACTAGTTTACTACTATGGAGGATAGAAATAATGAGAACTGCCTCTGATTTAAAAAAGTATTCGTCACACTAAAAAGAGTAAATTTCAAAGAATGTGCCAAAAGTTATTAGTAGATATTATCTCTGAAATCGTCCAATTTTGTCCTTGCTTCGTTTTCCTTGTGACTTTCGATAGTATCGGATTAACACTAACTACCTATTCTATTAACTAAATATATTAAATAACTCGGTCTATCTGTCTCTCTTATTCGTTTTGATTTATTCCTGTTTTATATGATACTACTAAACATTTTAGTTATTTTGACATTTCATAAAATACCTACTGCCTGCAACTTTCTCTAATGATTTTCATAAATCGTCTAGGGATATTTGAATTGATTTTGTGCATCTTGTATTGTTGGTTGCATACATCGAACTCATGTGTTTCTCGGTCATTTATAAAGGAACTGCATGTACATTTACATAGATATGATTATTCTTACCCTGTCTGTTTCTTCTATTTACATTAACGCATCTGTAAAAAATGGCGAATTCATCATCCTCTAATCCAATAACTCTATATACCATTACATCCGCGGCATCGGGGTATTCCACCCTCAGTACTGCTAGTCCGTAAGGATAATAAGACTCATCCCATATTACTCGACCTTGCCTTCTATGCCACACACCGGAGCTTACATTTTTCCATAGGTGATCCATTTCCGTGGATAAGGGTAAAGCACCCCACACGGTAAAATATACCCTCTGGCAGTCGCCGTTGTTGGCGTATGATATTACGGGGTACCATACCGCCTCATTTCCTGATAACTATGAAAAAAAGTTATTGAAGCAGGCAAATGTTATGTTTTTAATTTTGAAATACAGTTAACTTACTCTCTCGAAGCTGAAATTGTCAACCGTGTTTACATTCATTCTGTCTCGATCACTACATTGGCCTCGCGAGATGTATTGCGAATGACAAAATGAAATTAATGCAAGAAAAATAATCGTTAAAAGTTGGTTAGACATTTTTATTGCTTTCAACTTGTAATTTTCAAAGTAAAATAATCGTTACATGTACATAAATAAAGTAAAGTTGTTAGCTCATTAAATTAACTAACCCACCTGGGTCTACTCCCGTATTTATATTTTCTTTTGATCGGATAATCGGCGTTATCTTCCATTCCTCAAGCGGAGATAAATAAATTCACATAATAAATTTTTTTTATAATAGAAATTTGTATAAATCGTGCGTCTATTTTTTTTTATTCAATCTACACATACAGGGTGACACAAAAAGTTCGCAATATGCTCATTGCGGTCAAACTGTAGTTTAATTGAAAAAGAATCAAACATAACTTGCTCCCTATTTTAGTACAAGCATCCAAATATGATTTAATATACAGTGGATTTAATTTATTACGACCTTAGTGATAGCGATCATTTTGCTAGAGCGGCGTTAAATCTAAGTCCTTTGAATTTAAAGCATACTTTAGTACAAAATTCATGTGGCTACAGCGACTTTTTAAATAATCATTTGTAACAAGTCTCTAGTAATCCCATGCAGATATAGCAACCTGAGTCGGCCGCTAAAGACACAAGGAGCTTTTTTACCTTTTGTTTACATTCACACAGAGATGGTCAGTAAGTATGCTGACTTTTACCGTTTGTTTATTAAGCGTGTACGTTAAAATGATTCAGTTATAAAGTGCTATTCTGAGCAGCAACTGTGTTTAGTAAACTTTTGAATAAGTATGACTCCTAGATGCATATTGACAGTTAAAAAAAGGCAGAAATTGTTTCAAAATAGTGTAAGGGTTTTATTATTTCTATATGTGTGTAAATAAATAGTCGTTCGAAAACTAAACGAACATATGTATATATAGTGGTCGGTATGTATATTTCTACGTTAATTTTACGGACTTAGTTGGGATAGATTTTACCTAATTTGCCCATGTGTTTATACTTTATGCGGGGTGATCGGTCAAGGGGGATCGACCCTCTTCGAGATGAAGAAACAAACAGGACCTATTAATGTTACATATGCGTGAAACGTATTGAAGTGCACTTGTGCTACTCTGTGTTCTCCAATAGTTGTGCATATTTTAAGGACGTTATAATATTAGTGATTGTTACCTGTGTTACCTGCAAATCAGGGTGAGTTATTCACTGAGTACTTCAAGCATGCTTAGTAATTATTTTACTGATTGTTTTAAATGAAGATGCTGTTGATGATTTATGTTGATATTGAAAGTAACTCATGAGATAATTAGGGACGCTACCTAGACTGTTAAGCTGCGGTGACACAGTCGTTATTTGGGGGCTGAGGTTTGAAAGCGCTGCGGTGCAATGGGGACTGTGGGCTGCGGTTGTACAGTTATCTAACCCATTAATGACCTCAGTCCAGTTTTGGGCAGAAAAGTCTGTCTTGCAGAGGTAGTGCGGGAAGAGGGTGTTTGCCCTTTCCCAAGATCAGGTTGATACAGCATCAATAAGTGTCAAGTAGTTGATTACAGTAATTTGGCTGCGGTCAATGTATTTATCTTTAGTTGATTATATTGCAACATGGCCTTGTACAGTAAGATGCACGATAAATGCTAAGGAAAGGTATGCTTGAGTGCTCACACCTGTTTTTCTATATTTGATGAAGGTGCCGTAAGGTGATATTGGCAGTGATATAGCTGGGGATCATCTCTGTGATCGTGTTGGCTTTTGTTTAAGTAAGTGATCGTTTGTTTTATTTGTTGTGTATCTGTTGATTAAGAGATTAGGATGTCTTAAAGCAACGCTTAACCATCTTCCTGACGATACTTTATATCTCAATTTGTCCACGCCCCTGTGATGCTACGTTCTTGATTTACGTAGTTTAAGATATCTATTTGATATTCTGTTCAGAATGCTCTTCGAGAGTATATGTTACTTAAGGCCGCTTACAATAGAAAAATGGTGAAAACTATATATATCTGTCTGCATCCCTTTACCGTTACCTCTAACGACTTCCAGATATAACGAAGAAATTACATTGGCCCCTTCGTTGTCGTTACACCCGGAATCCACTGTACAGTGTTCGAAAATAGCAAAACAAGGTTTCGTTTAAATGGCAGTCATCGAGCCATATTTCACAGGGCTGGCATTTAAACGAAACCTTGTTTCTTCTATTTATGAACACTCTGCATAGTATATTAAATTTAAATGCTACAGACGATCTTATATTAAAATAGGGAACAAGTCTTGTTTTGAAAGTTTTTTTCGATTAAACTTACAGTTTGAAAGCAATGAGTGTATTGCGTATTTTTTGGCCACCCTGTATATAAATAATGTTCAAGCGTGTGTCTGTAATATCGGCATAACTCCTTTATTTTTTTTTTTTCGATTAAACTTATAGTTCGAAAGCAATGAGCGTATGTAATTTTAGTTGTTCAGAAATAAAGCTAAAGCAGAATTATTTTCAAAACTATCTTCCCTCTCATTTGATATATTTGATACCAATGAATCTAATAAATTTGAAATGAGGTTTAAAATATTTTTATTTTCATCGCTCTTTAGAGTTTTTGACTACATTAAATAATATGTATTTTACTCCATTTAGGTATATTGTTAGAGTTAAAAGGAATCTTTAAATTGGGTGTAATACCATTTTGGTGTATTTATACCTAGTGCAATGGGAAGAATCTGGGTCCAGCTGTTATTTTGATGACATGTTATTGCAGCCTTCAACTGGCTATGAAATCGTTCAACCATTCCATTTGCTGCAGGGTGGTATGCTGTGATATGGATGTGTTTGGTGTTCGTTAGATGTCATAGTTCGTTGAAGAGTTGAGATTCGAAGTGTCTTTTTTGGTCGATAGTAATCCGTGATGGTGCACCAAATCGACAGATCCACCCTTCATAGAAAGTACATGCTGCGGTTTCAGCTTCTTGATATTTGATGGGAATTGCTTTTTCGGACCAACGTGTGAATCGATCTACGCATGTGAGACAGTAACGGCATCTTTCAGAGTAGGGCATTACGACTATATCTATGTGTATGTGTTCGAATCTGCCTGAAGGCATGTTGAAGATTTCCAGAGGGGCAGAAACAGAAACTGGAAAATTTTTGCTTTTTGACACGGAATGCATGCGCGTGCCCATTTGACTCAATCACTGTTTTCCGATGGCCAGATGAAATGTTGTGTGGTTAACTCAATATATGCACGAATACCAGGGTATGTTAGGAAATGTAAGTGGTTGAAAATGACGAAGCGATGATGGGGTCAAAAATGGTCTAGCTGTTACTGTTGAGATATCACAGAAGATAGCTTTGATTGTACCCAGCATATGGACACGTTTTAATACTAGGGACTTGTTATAACTGAGATATGTTTAAAGTTCTTTATCAGACTCTTGTTGAGTTGCAATGACTTCATAATCAATGGGACTTGATACTTCTGAAATACGTAGTGTCTGACACGAAGTTGCCCTTACCCGACGTATGTTGTATGTTTGTTGAAAATTGGCTGATGAAATTTAAATGACGTGACTGTCTCGGGGAGCATTTGTCAGGGTTCTGACGGAAGGTAAAAGTGATAGGTTTGTGATCCGTGAAAATAATGAAGTCACGGGCCTCTAGAAAATGTCGAAAGTGCTTAATTGCACAATAGATTCTAAGAAGTATTCGATTGAGCTAAGGGCTCCCAGTTTCCATCATGGTATTGTTGTAACGCAGCGACCAAGGTCGGTAGCGTCACAAAATGTAGCTAATGTTGCGTTGGGTTGAAGATGGTGTAGAAGATTGGTTTGAGCAAGTTGTTTCTTACTCAATTCGAATACTTCATCAGCAATTTTGTTCCATCGTAGCGGTGTGTTGCTTTAAGTGCCCTTGGTGTAATTTGTTTAACTCTGAGTGCGTGTGAACAGCATTTGGTAGGAATTTTCGGTTGAAGTTTAGCATACTCAGAAATTATCGTAATTGATTTGCCGTGCTTGGTTTTGGATAATTTGTGATTGTTGTTACTTTATCTGGTATAAGGGTTATACCTTTCGCTGAGATCAGAGTAACCTAGATAAGAAACTTCTTTTTGGTCGAACTTGCACGTTGGTCTGTTTAGTAGCACACCATATGAGTTTAATCGCGTGAACACTGTTTGTAAAAGTTGTTTGTGCTGAGTTGCGGATTCCGAGGTGGCGAGGGTGTGGTCGATATAGCCAAAACAAAAAACGAAGCCGCGTAATACTTCCTCTATGAATCGCTGAAATGTTTGATTGGCATTATGTAAGCCGAAATTCATAAACGGAAATTTAAGTAATCCAAATGGAGTTGTTGAGTCTTCGGAATGTCTTCGTCAGCAATCGGGATTTGATTGTATGCTCTAACTAGGTCATTTGTGAAAAATATTGTTTTGTTTGATAAGCCATATGTAAAATATCCAATGTTTTGGATAGGGTATCTGTCGTGAATGGTTCTTGCGTAGAGTGTGCGATAATCTCAATAGGGTCGCCATTCATCGTCTTTCTTCGGGACCATATGTAGTGGCGATGCCCAGGGGCTGGCGGAAGGGCGAGCGATGCCCAGTTGTACCAGCGTCTCGAACTCTTTTTTGACCGCTGCAAATTTGTTCGAACTATTAGAGGTATTAGAGACTTGTACGTAGATATCAGCACCTGTGTCGACCAGAAATTGTAGGCGTGTAACTATATTCTTAACGAAATGGCGACGTAGTGTAGGGGGATATAACTTGTTGCCGCTAGTGATCTCCATTGCGGTTTTCCGACCACACTGAACATGGAGAGGCGCACTCACCATTTGTTCCATTGTCACTACTTACGGCAATTTCGGGAAAAACTACGTGAACGTGACTGGGATCGCAAGAGTCTTGATATTAGTCGTCTCATGTCGTGAAGGTTCATTGTGAGGAAGTTGACTATCTCTACCAGGTTTTGTATAGTGGGACCATTATTGGGGTTGTACTGACTAGAGTGTGTCTGTGGGTCAAGTTAATGATGCTGAAAGCCATTTCTACAAAGGGTGGTAGTTTGACTGCCAAGTGGTCCACAGATACACTGACATACGAGAAAATAAAGGTGAATCACTTGTTTAACTCGCGCCGATTTAAA